ATCAGCCACATTTACATACTTTCTATGAAGATTATAGGGAGTTCTAGCCTTTCGAAATCTGATTCCTTGCCTGTTTCCACCATTACTCTTGTACATAGGCATTATTAGATCAGAGGACCAGGTCCATTTAAGTGACTTATCAAGATTATATTTAACCCTATTCAGATCCTCATAAAGTTTTCTATTCTTTTCAAGCTCAACAACAAGACTTGTTTTAACTTTCTTAAGTTCATTCTTAATATCAAGTTGAGCTGCACTAGCTACTCCTTTTCCCTTAGGTGTATTCATCTATTTTTCTATTTGATTTTTCAACAAGGTATTTTTTCTAGTTATGTCTTCCACTTGTTCTTTCAGATCTGCAAGTACGACCACCATGTCATCCCTCTCTTGTTCTACATCACCAATTTCTTCAATTAATGTATTTTTCTTACTTGTCCTACATCACCAGATCTGTAATTAAGACCACCTCATCTTCCTCCTTGTCCTCATCATCATCGGATTTAGCCATGAATGCAAATATAGAATCATATTCTGAGGATTCATTTTCAATAGCCATCATAGATGTATCTCCTTGGTCATCTTCACCTTCAGATTCATGGGAGGAATCTCCCTAAGCAGCTAGTGCTTGCTTCACCACGTTATCAGCAACATCTCTTCTTTTAAACCTTCTGTCAGGGATCAGATTCCTCTTAACTGCTTTGTTAATGTTGTTTTTATAATGATTCTATTTGTGGAGTGAACAGTCTTTAATGAAGTATCCGGACTTTCCACACTTATGACAACAATCATTTCTTTTGAAGTTTCTGCTCGAACTTCCTCTCTTGGGAATCCTACTATTTCTTCTATTCATCTTTTGGAATCTTTGAGTGAGATACACCATGTCAGATTTATCACTACTTGGAGTCGTTATTGGAAGCCTTGAGAACCAGGTTCTTCTCCTTCTTGAGCTCTCTTATTTCACGATCTTTTTTTCTCTTCATCTCATAGGTTTTGAGATTTCCTATAAGCTCGTCAATAGTCAACTTCTGCACATTTTTAGCTTCAGTGATCGCATTAACTTTGCTCTCCCAGGAACCTGGTAGAACATTGAGTATCCTCTAGACCAGCTTGTTGGTTGGAATGATTTCACCAACTGAAAGAAGCTCATTGATTATAGAGGTGTAACGGGTATGCATATCTTGAATAGACTAGTTCATACTCAGTTTTAAGCATATCTAGCTTGGATTGCTTTACCTAGTAGTTCTCTCATATGCAGTTTGGAGAGCTTCCTAGATCTCTTTGGCAGATTCACATGCTGAGATGCGATTATATTCATCTTGTCCAATATCACAAACAAGAATCTTCTTTGCCTTGAAGCTCTTTTCAACAGCCTTTCGATCAGCATCGTTGATTCCTTTCTAGTCTTTAGGATAGTACGTATCCCCTCTCAAACAACTTTCGTAGGAACAAAAGGACCATCACAAATCATGTCCCACAACTCGGAGTCCTCAGCCATGATGAAGTTATGCATTCTTGTTTTCCACTATCCATAATACTTGCCATTGAATCTTGGAAGTCTTGTGGTTGATTGATCTTCCTCGAGGTTTGGTAGAGCAGTCATAATGTAGATCCTTTCTAGGTTTTAAACTTTTAGAAAGAACCTTCTCTAATAACAATTAATAGAAATTAAGAGTCCACCAAACGGTATAGAGAACTAGATTCTCTATCTGTTCCAACAATAAATAAGCAGAAAGTAAATAACACACGATATTTACGTGGAAAACTCCCTGCTCAAGGGATTAAAAACCACAACCTACCCCAATAGAATTTTAACTCCACTAAATCGAGCAAACACCAGATTACAACCTATTGCAATATAGAAATTAAACTCTTAATTTCCTGGCCCCTTAAAATAACTCTGTTGTAAGCCCTTTGCAATAACTCTATTACAAAGCAATAAACCTTGACTAACTTTAGATCAAGAAATCAAACCAAACGATGATTGAAATATGTCCTACAAAGACACTTCTTGAAAATAGTGTAGGATTACAAATGAAGAACAAAATAATGAAGATTCAATAAACCTAAGGACTTAATCGGATCTGGTCCTTGAGGTTGTAGTAGCTTTGTTCTTGAAAGAGCCTTGAAGGCAATGGTGGCTAGAACTTGAGAGAATATGATTTTTTTGATTTGCAAGTACTAGGTTAAACCTTGTATCATGTTCTATATATATGAGAGAGCATGCGAAAAGAGATAGAGATATTTCATCTTTTAATTTGGCCTATAGCAAGCTGCAGTTGTGCTGCTATACTGCTGCCAGTCGGTACGGTGCGACAGCTTTTACAACTATAGAGTTGACTGTACGATGGCCAAGGGAACTGATCACATCTGGTCCATATCTAGTTCCTCGAGAAAGTTTGACCAGCATCAAAACATGAAGTAACATATATGTTGCCAGTCGATACATTGCAACAACTTTTATAACTTTAGAGTTGACTGTACGACGGCCACAGGAATAGATCATATCTGGTCCCTATCTGGTTCCTCGACAACGTTTGGCCAATATTAAAACATGAAGTAACATATCTGTTGCCGGTCGGTACAGTGCAACAACTTTTACAACTGTAGAGTTGATTGTACGACAGCCAAGGGAACTGATCGTATCTGGTCCCTATCTGGTTCCTTGAGAACGTTTGACCAGCATCAAAACATGAAGTAACATGTCATCAAGGCCAAAGGAACTGCTCACAACTGGTTCCTATCTGGTTCCTCGAGACTGTTTGGCAAATCATCAAAACACAAAATAGCATAACATATCACAAACTATATAGGGTCGAACCGGTCATAAATTGGCTAGCCCGGCCTGATACACCTTTAATTCGTAGTATGCATCACTTTTGGACTTTTTTCCAATTAATATTTTGTTACGAATCTTGTATAGACTTCTAGTTATACTGATTTCAGGAGCAAAACATGTCAGCATGTTTACTTTGACAAGATCGACTTTGGAAAACAACCGACTTTTATTTAATGGGATTGTCAATCCCCAATTAGGAAAGCATACATGAATTGAATGATCCAGGTTGCATATGATAACTTTCCTAATAAAGGCTCTATTTCCATTGACCAAATAATAACTTTAATAAAAAGAACTAACAATCTTTACAAAGAGACTGCAATCACAAGTAGTACTTTCCAGGTATTCGTAGATTTGAAAAATGTGGTTATACTATTATTGATTAGAATCTTGAGATAGATTTGCTTCCATCTCTGTTCAAAAGTAATTGGAGTTCTTTAATATTATATTACTTGGCTTATTCTAACTTCTAGTGCAGATAGTCAATGTTGTTAAACAAAAGGTCAAAGAAATTGCATGGCTTATGTTGTACTTTGAAGGAGTCTCTTCCTTAAAACCTATACATCTACCGACCCTACACTATTTTGGTTTGACGAGTTATATATAGTATAAATGAACAGTAAGAGGTACAAACCCAATAATTATATGGCAGTAGCCTGTAGGTAGACGTGAAATAAAGCTTTACTATTTTAAGTTCAATAAAACTTTGAATATTACATGTAAAAATGGATCCAGAATTTAAAGTTTATGAATTTCAATAGCAACCTTAATTAAGAGCACCATAAAATATTTATAGATATTTAGCAAGTTTCTTATTATAAAATACAATATGGACAAAAGTTGCTTAACCAAACCTCCCATCCGCCCTTTGATTATATGAAAGTTTTTGCTGAGAAAATACGTACATATGATCATTAATCTCGCCCAAACGACATTAACATTGATCTATAATGACATGTAGTATCTCATGAGTTCTGCCCACTATTACTACGGAAAAAGCCGGCCTTCCCTTCGCTACCCAAAAAGTTAGCTACTTCTATTAATGATTCATTAACTTATATACCCAAAAGGGATATGGGCGCCAGGTAAGGGCGGAGCTAGAGTTTCATACGGAGGTTCGGCCGAACCCAATAGCTTTGGTCCAAACTCTATATTTGTCGTTAAAAATTTATTGAATATGTACAAATTATTAATTTAGAACCCAGTAACTTCGAAGGAATATAATTTAAATGCTGGCTTTTGCCCAATCGAGTTTTACCATAACAACTAGGCAGAGTTTAATTCCTTCAAAAATTGACTACTCAACCATGTTAATCGCATTGATTAAGTCGCCTATTCCCGAAATTTGAAAAGTTAAAGGGGAACAAAAATAAGGTTTTAAAGCCTAAGAAGGAACGCATTCGTGCTGAATTTGAACGAGTCTGCTTCGAGTATAGTGATGCCATGCAATTTGTAATTCAGCTCTTACGTAATTTTCGTCAAATTAAGATTTTGTCCTGAGCTATTGTCTACCTGACTTCCTTTTAACCATTATGTTCCTCTCTTTATAAATGGTCTTAGTCTAATAGTCTCTCATAGTTACGTTCTTGAGAAAACCAAGATTCCCAATTTGACCATAACACTATTATTTTGTCAAGTAATCTATCCCGTGGGTTTTAGATTCAGATGATGACATTTTAATCGCAATGCCGTTCTTTAACCTTGAATCTAGACATGAATAGCAGATAAAACTGAGTAAATTGATTAACTCACTACAAGAAAACGGGGTTATTACGGCGGTTATTTTAGCATATAATGGCGGTTTGAAACCGCCATAATACACATTAACGGCGGCTTTTAAAAGCGCCACAATCCCGTCTGCCAAAATTATATTATGGCATTTTTGGGCAAACCGCCGTAATTACATGTGAAAACCGCCGTATTTTAAAAACTGTGGCTTTTATTTTTGCATATTAAGGCGGGTTTAAACCGCCATAATGTGTTTTTTCTGCTTCAGCCTTTTCACAATCCTATTTTTTTCACATTTAGAGTCCTATTTATTGAATGCTATGCTTTGAAACTTCTGTAGCACTTCATAATCAATTAAACCCAATATAGAATATTAAAAAAGAAAAAATATTCATTATATAAAACACAAGTATACCAAAATTACATCATCCAAATATTAATGCTTCAAAGTGTATTTCAACAGTAATATCCAAAAGATTCATAGTTGATACAACAAAATAATCACAAATTCACACTCAAGTATACCAAAATTACATCATCCAAATATTAATACTTCAAATTGTATTTCCACAGTAATATCCAAAAGATCCATAGTTGATCCTATAAAATAATCACTAATTCACACTTGGACGATCATCATTGTTACTTTCATCTAAAGATCTTCTTAGTTCAACTATTGATGGTGCATCACTTCCTAAATCTGGTGCCTGAAAAAAAGGAAGAAAAAATACAATTAATAAGCAAATAACTAAAATGTTAACAGGTAAGCTGAAGTAGTAGGACTGGATTTACTATGAGACTCTTGTTTAGTCTGATAAATATACCAATAATAGTTTATTTGTATGAATATTCGAAGCCAAACGACTAATCACTTTAATGAGAGGTTTTGTATTTTATTTCTGTTTTTTTGTCAACTATTAACTATTTAAATTCTCTTTACAATTTGGAACATGACCACAAGTAAAAACTTCTGAAATTTTTTAAACCCCACACAATCTTTTCTCTATTAGCAGCCCATCATTTTCTTGGCCGCAAGTCCAGGTTTTATTGTCACAGTTCCATCATTTCCAACCAAAGCACTGTATTTATCCTTCCTAGTAAAATTAGTGCACTCATACGATAACGTTGCGGCATATAACCATAAGAAAAGCAAGTAACTAAAATTTTACTGTAGCAAGAGAACTTATACCTGTGGAGGAGTGAAAAATAAGTGAGCAAACTCCTCGGGGATATTCTCTATGTTCCTTTCATATAAGCTAATTAGTGCATTTAATTTTGATTTCACATCTGTTATCTCTTGCTGCCACGCTGGAGTTGGAGCGGTAGTGCTAGATGAACCCACATAACCACGACGGTATCTCGCAGATGTCTGTTTGAATGCTACAGTTGGAACTACACCCAAGCCTAAACTTCGAACACAGCCGGGGTGCTCGGGACCGAATACTATGCCAAGTGCATCATTTGGTGAAGGTTCATCAAAACTTTATGCTCTTTCAGTTCGAATTTCTTCAATTCTTTCCTACAAAAATTGAAGAAGCATAAACTGAGCAATATGAAGGTGCTTGGAACTTGGAAATGACAAGAATTATACACTAAACTGCTAGCTAAAACATGAATCAAACCATTAACAGATCCATAACACCACATCCCAAAATGAAATGCAAATTATACCATATGGTCTAGCCAAAATTCCCGTAGAAGCAGCAGATCTCATTTAACACTAATCTGCTAACATAACAACACTAATCACCTCATATATATCATTTCCGTAGAAGCAGAAGATCTCATTTCCATAGAACACAAAAAAACCGCACTAAATGACTTCATATATATCAACATCGAAACTCACAGCAAAAAATATTGTCACCAACAACCTATCATGCATCTCAGACTATCAAAATGCTAGTGGAAATATTTGTGGAAACCCACTAGACAAGCAATACCAATCTAAAATTAAAATATAATTTCACAGCAGAAGGCACCAAAAATGTTACTTACCCCAATCACCCTAGCCTCATCAGTTACATAACTCCCATCTTTCCTTTTATGAGTCTCAGTCCACATTTTGCCTCGATCAAAAGCTTTTCCCATCGCCTTCTGAAATTTTTAAAACGAATAATGTTAGTAATTAATTGAGAACATATATCTTATCTAAGTTAAGCGCTTAAACTACCATTGCATCCCTTCTTTTAGCCAAACTCATAGCACCACAAGTATGAGGAAGTTGATTTTTTCGAATTTGTGCATTCTTGAAATGCTCCTACAAATTAAATAGGTGAAATTCTATTATACAAGACCAAAATAAGCAAAAGCAGAAGCAAGAGAAGTAGTAGAGAAGCAGAAGCAGAAACAGAAGTAGATACAGTAGCAGAAGCAGCAGCAGAAGCAAAAGAAGAAGCAGATAGCAGTAGCAGAAGCAACTATAAAGCTTGTTAACATTTGTTCTAGCAAAAGAAGAAGCAGATAACAATTCTAATATCATACTTATCGCCTTGTCAGTCATTCGACAAAGACACTTTATATGATACATTTTGATTAGAAAGGACAATTTGGAATACTTCGTACACCCTTCGTATAATGGTTGATTGCCATCTTCGACCAATTCATAAAACTTTGTATAATCTTCATTATGCCCCTCAACGTGCCCTTCATCAAATATTTCTTCTCTATTTATATGATTAGAAAACACACCAGGCTCGTTGACATTGTTCCTGGTGAACCCAAACGCATCATTAATCATAATTTCCATTGGATCTTGGGGCTGTAAATTATCTTCTATGATATGGGTGCTCTGAGAAGTTTGTTGCACGGTTGCATTTGATTCTTCACCATGCCAATACCAAAATGTGCAGTTTTTTGGGAAAGGTTTAAGAATCAGGTGCTCTTCAACTACATCTCTTCTTTGACACTTGTTAAAATCACATATTGGACAAGGACACTTAATTACGCGCCCATCAACTTACCCGTGCTCAAAAGCAAAATCCAAAAATTGTCTTAGACCATCTGCATATTCAGGTGTGTTTCGTGGTTTGCTAGTCCAAGATTTATCAATTGGCATGGCTAGAAAGGAAGACATAAGATAACATCACAATATTAAAACTGAAAAGATAGTTCAAAAGCTTATATGTGAAAAACATAACCTCTGAATATATCCACTTAATTTGAAAAGCCATTGCCAACTTAATTAACATGAAAAGTCACATCACTTCTACATTAATTAATTTTGAATGCAACCTCATATTGTAATCTCTTCAAATGAAGAATTGTTGAATGTCAAATACAGCTCTTTAAATGGTAAACAAATTAAGAAATGGTCTATTAATACTTGAAACGAAAGTACTATTTAGGTTTCTTGTACAGTTAAAGTTTAACTTCAGATTATTCCTGCATTTTTGCTTTTAGTTTCAAAATCCATAAAGCCTAAGGAAAGACATAACCTGCAATAATTAGTGAATATATCCACTTAATCTGAACTAAGTTTTTCTCTAAAAAAATTTGCTCATACACAGTGTCAAACAGTTAACTTACTACTTCAGATTCTTACAGTTGGATGGCATATCTTTCTACCTATACAATTGGTAACCGTTTGATAGATAAGTTGAACCTATTATAGCAGAAAGCTCTGCTAATCCGCTAGTGACAAATGAAATAATCAATCTACTTTTTAATAAAAAGAAATCTGCTCAAAAGAAAGGACAAAATTAAACTGATACCTCTCAAATGTTTTACTGTCGACGTCGATCCCAATAGCTTCATCAACAGTTTTTGATCTCTCGGCTACATATCAAGCCCATATATAATATTTAGGTTAATATTAGCAATAATAACAAATTAAAATATCAAAATTAAGTGCATGCAATCAAAATACCAAACAAAGCAGCAAACATTTAAAGAAGTACCAAACTAATTGAATAGAAAAATAACAAAAAATGGACTCAAAAAAATAAAGAACGGAAACCATTAGAAAATTAATGTTTTTCTAGTAATAGATTACTATTTTGGATGTTATATATTTAATTGACTGAATGAATCATAGATTATCGGACTGAGGAAAAAAATTTAGAAAAAATTGGGAAAAATCGCTACATGCATGAACCCTATTAAAGAGAAAAAGAACTTTTGGTACTAAACATGAACCCTAATCGCTACATTACCTGAGATTATTGAAGCTGCTAAATGAATTTCATGTACTTTTTCTAATTTGAATCTCGATTCTTCTAACCGGAGAAACAGATTGGGAGAAATAGAAGAATCTGAAGTTAGAAAATTGGGAGTTCAATTTGTGCTAAACTATAAATGTTTCCAGCGTTATTAGAGGGGAATGCATTACCTCAGCTGCAATTGTTTGGAGATTGTGAGTTTTACATTCCAGCAGCCTTCAATAAGAATGAATCGGGGGAAGGAATTGGGGGAAATAGAAATTGGGGGAAAGATATACGAGACTTATGGAGGGAAAGAAATTGGGGAAATTCTGGAGGGAGTCTCAAAATGTGAGGAGGAAATACTAAAACTTATTAAAGGAATAGTTAAAATATTTTGATTAAAATATTACGGCGTTTCTAACCGCCACAATACGAAATAATGGCCACTATAAAAAAATTTAATTCAGCGGCCGGTAAAACGTCATTTTTAATTATATTTTGGGGCGGTTATTTGGAACCGCTGTAATATAACCGCCACAATAATTCCGATTTTTTGTAGTGACTATCCCTGTAAAATTCCCCGAGAATTGCAGTCAATTTCAGCAATGTGATAAATAAAACAAAAAATCTCAAACATATTACGTCAATAGAAACTAGCTAGCGTGTAATACATTACATGATATCTTCGATGCATAATATCAGTTAGACAACTGTTGAAGCAATTACAGACATTATATATATAGATGGTTAATTGAAAAAGAAAGCTTACAAACTTGCTAATAATTAACCACACAACTAGCTAGAGAAGTTGCAGTGAAATGGTTGCCTTCAAGACTATGAATATAGTTATAGCACCCCTTTTGTTAATGCACTTGTTGGAGACAACTAATGCAGCTGCTTCCAGCAACATTACAACCAATGAGGCCTGCTCTTTTAGCCTTCAAGTCTCAAATAACTTTTGACCCCTTTGAAATTTTGTCCAATAACTGGACAAAAGGGACTGAAATTTGCAATTGGATTGGCATTTCTTGCAGTAGAAGGCATCATGAAAGAGTGACAGCATTAGTCCTCAGAAGCTTGTGATTTGGAGGTTCCGTTGCTAAAGAAATTGGGAATCTCTCCTTCCTTAGGATTCTGGATATTGCAAACAACAGTTTCCATGGCAAAATCCCCTATGAAATCGGGCGTCTTAGGCGCATAGAGTACTTGTCCTTGCAAATGAATAATCTCACTGGTGAAATCCCAGCAAGTATTGGGTTGCTTAACAAGATTGATATACTGGATCTTTCTGATAATAATTTACATGGACATGTTCCTTTCAATGTCTCCCCATCCTTATTGATCATGGATTTGGGACAAAATGGTCTTACTGGCAATATCCCAACGGAATTTTGTACTAGCGTTCCAAATTTGCAGGGTTTATCACTCTCAAATAATCAATTAGTAGGCCAAATCCCAAGTGGGCTGAATAAATGCACACAACTTCTTTATCTTTCCTTGTCATATAATCAGCTCACAGGTAACGTTCTTGGACTACATTTTCTTTTCTTTCTTCTGTATTTGGTTTTTTTCCCGTTGAATCTTACTGTCTGGTGAGCAAGGTTTTCAGGATGACAATCCTAAGTGAAATCGTTTTCTTGATAAGATCATAGGATATTACAAACAACAACAACAACAACAACAACCCAGTATAATCCCACTTAGTGGGGTCTGGGGAGGGTAGTGTGTACGCAGACCTTACCCCTACCCTAGGGTAGAGAGGCTGTTTCCAAATAGACCCCCGACATCCTTCCCTCCAAGAACTTCCCACCTTTGCTCTTGGGGAGACTCGAACCCACAACCTCTCGGTTGGAAGTGGGGGTTGCTTACCATCAGAGCAACCCCTCTTGTCCAAAAATGCCTTTTATTATATTTATTTCTAGACGTTGGCCGCGCCGTTTATATCTCTTAAAATTGAGCTAAATATAAATAAACCTAGGTCTAATAAAGAAAACATGGATTCTGCGGGATAAATGTGATCCCTCCTTCATTAATCAGATGTCTCGAGTTCGAGAATTTAGAATGGAGATAGAACTCCTTATAGGGAGAGCTTTTCCCCCTTTATTGACCCCCATAGCACGAATCTGAAATAGTGGAGTCAGATATTTCAAATACCGGATAAAAGAAAACCTGGATTAGAATTAAGCTGAGCATAAGATGTGCCTAAGTTAGATTCTTTGAACTCAAATATTGCAAAATCAAATTTAAATTCATTGAATTCATCCTATAGTTCATTTTAACATTTTCACTTATTTATTGAGAAAAAAAATAATAGTATCAAAATTTAAATAAATGTCACTGATAAATAGCTTAATTAGTTCCATTCTTTCTTAATTTAAGAGGATGTGAGTTTGTTTATCCTAAGTCTCAATTGTCTGGCCAGCTCCCAAGTGGTTTAGACAAATGCAAAGAGCTTGTATATTTAGCCTTATCATATAACCTGTTCAGAGGTAAAGTTATTGAGCCATTTTCTTTCTTTGCTCCTTTTGGTTAATGTTGACAATAAAGGTTGCTAGAATCATTAGTCAAAACGTCTTGTAATGTCGTATTCTACAGGAAACCTGCCTAGTCAAATGTGGAACTCGACAAAACTTCAAGATCTATTTCTTGGATGGAATAACTTAACAGGTACTAATCAAGCAGTTGGCTCTATGTCTAAAAATGTTCTTCTTTAACAACTTTGATAGGTTAAACTGAGATTTACTAACTTCGATATATATTACTGGAAAATTTTACGTTAACTCCTCACCTCGCGGCACTAGAGATCTTTGAAATTTCCAAACACTTAGAAATCATTTAATAGAAAATGTTAATAATTCAAGTTTCAGTAGCAAAAAATGTTAGTGCAACACTTTGTTCTTCATTTCCAAACAAGTTAGAACAACTACATCAACCCCATGTTAGTTTGGGTTGATTATATGAATCCTCAATGTTCATGTCGCTCCATTTAGACCTGTCCCAATCCAATATCCAATCATTCATGTTTTCTTATAGTAGAATTTCTCACACGTACACTTTCTACTGGCATTTAGATATTTAATAAGATTAAAAGCCTGCTAGCGAACATTGAACTAAGTAAACATACAAACATAAGTAAGCCTTAATCCCGACAAGCTGGTATCGCCTATATTGATCTTTATCTTCCATTCTGCTCTTGTCTATGCTAAGTCTAAACGGAATCCAATAGATAGTACATAGTTCTTTTGCTTTCTTTTTACCCTATGTCGGGTATTTCATGGTTCACTTTTGGTATATAAGCAACAGAGATAAAAATATAGGAACATGGTTAAAGTATAGATTATAGAATGAATCTAATTTCATATTGATCTTCAATAGAATGTTGAAACAGTTACAAGGGTTGTTCCCTTCAGGATATGGACATAAACGTATAATGCATAAAACTTTTATCTAGCTAGCAGTTAAGTGATAGGAGTACTACTTCACAGTATTGGAATATTTAGTGCATAATCACACAATTTACATAAATTTTACAGGACATATACCAAGTGAAATTGATAACCTATCAGCACTTCAAAGATCAAGTCTCCGACGGAACAATTTGGTGGGATTTCTTCCACCATCTATTGGAAATTTGTCGAATCTAGAGATGATAGACCTAGGTGAGAACAGTTTACGGGGTGACATTCCTCGGGAATTTGAACATCTTGTAAATCTGAAAGAACTGTATCTTAGCTCAAACAGATTATCAGGTGAAGTTCCAAGGTCTATTTTCAACATTTCTGGACTAGAAAAGATTGCATTTGTAGCAAATAATGAGCTTTCAGGAATACTTCCCTCAAACATAGGCCATAGCCTTCCAAATTCTTGAAGGCCTTTATCTTGGGAGAAACCAGTTCAGTGGGCTGATTCCTAGCTCCATCGTAAATTCCACCAAGCTTATCATCTTGATCTTGGCCGCAATCTGTTTACTGGGCATGTACCTATGAATCTTGGAAATCTACAACAGCTTCAATTCATCAGCTTGCAAATAAACCAATTGACAAATGATCCTTCTATGCGCGAGTTAAGTTTTCTTACCTCTATCCAATTGCAAGTATCTGAAGACCGTTCAAATAGGAGGCAATCAATTCAATGCAAGTCTTCCAAAATTCCTAGGCTCAGGCAACTGGTCCTTTTCCCTTGAAAATTTCATTGCTGCTAATAATGGTATCACAGGAAATATACCAACTAACTTCAGTAACTTGAGGAACCTGGGGTGGTTAAGCTTGGGATATAATAAGCTTATCGGTACGATTCCACCAGATTTGGGGAACTTGAGGAAATTGCAAATGTTGAAACTGGACAATAATAATATAGATGGAATTATACCGACTAGCCTGTGTAACTTGGAGAACATGTTTATAATTAGCTTGAGCCAAAATCAGCTTTCTGGGGAAGTACCAAGTTGCTTTGGAAATCCTTCTTCTTTAAGAGAACTCTCCTTAGATTCCAATGTGCTAATTTCCAGTATTCCACCAACTTTTTGGAGGAATAAAGATATTTCAGTTGTCAATTTATCCTCCAATTTTCTAAATGGATCTCTTGCACTAGAAATGGGAAACTCAAGGAGTTTGCAGATACTACATTTATCTGGTAATCGGTTCTCTGGTCAAATTCCAAGCACAATTGGACAACTTCAAAATTTGGTTATCCTTTCATTGTCAATGAATATGTTAGATAGGCCTATACCTAAATCGTTTGAAGATTTAGTTTCATTGGAATACTTGGATCTATCCAGAAACAAGCTATCCGGCATGATTCCCATGTCCTTGAGGAATCTTGAACATCTCATGTATTTCAATGTCTCGTACAATGGGCTCATGGGTGAAATTCCAGATGGAGGGCCATTCGTAAACTTTACAGCTGAATCATTTATGGGTAACCCTGCATTATGTGGAGCATCCCGGTTCCATGTGATGCAATGCAGAGTCAGTAGTCCTAAAAGACCAAAAAAGAAGAGGGTTGTAACTTTTGTTCTTGCATCAGTTGCCTCAGGAGTTGCAATGACCAGCATTTTCATCGTTTGGTTACTGAAATATCGAAAAAGGAGTAGGGAACTTCCTCTAGTGGATACATTTGGTCAAGTACATATGAGGATTTCGTACCATGATATTGCTCAAGGGACAAACAACTTTGATGAAGCAAACTTGATTGGGAGGGGGAGCCTTGGATTGGTGTACAAAGGGACACTTGCAGATGGAAAGGTTGTGGCAATCAAGGTATTCAATGCAGAAATGCAACATGCATTCAGAAGTTTTGATGTGGAGTGCCAAGTTCTACGAAGCATTCGACATAGGAACCTTGTTAAGGTGATAAGTAGTTGTGCGAATTTTGATTATAAAGTGTTGGTGCTAGAGTACATGCCCAATGAAAGCCTTGATCGTTGGCTTCACTCTCCCGACAAATTTTTGGATTTAACTCAAAGATTAAAGGTGATGGTTGATGTGGCTTCTGCTATGGAGTATTTACATGGAGGTCATTTGTTTGTAGTCGTTCATTGTGATTTGAAACCAAGTAACATACTTTTGGATGGAGATATGGTGGCGAAAGTGAGTGACTTTGGGATATCCAAACTTCTAACAGCTGAGACGCTAATAGCACATACCAAAACCTTGGGTACTATTGGCTACATGGCACCAGGTAAATGTTACTACCAAGTTAATTTGAGTAAATTTTAAACGACGTTAATTATTTTCATTAATGGGGGGATTACATGAATTTTTTGGCAGAGTATGGTTCAGAAGGCAAAATCTCAACCAAGGGAGATGTTTATAGATTTGGTATTCTGTTAATGGAGATTTTGACAAGAAAGAGCCCTGTGGATGATCTATTTGTCGGAGACTTCACCTTGAAAAAATGGATATGCCAATCATTACCAAACCGAATGGTGGATGTAGTGGACATTAATTTATTTTCACTGGATGACGAAAATTTTATGTCGAAAGAGAGCTTCAAATCAATCATGGAATTAGCTTTTGAATGCACAAATGACTTGCCTCATGAGAGAATTAGTATGGAAGATGTTAATGTTCGACTCAAGAAGATCCTAACTCAATTTCTGCAAAATGTAATGACAAACTAAACGGTAGTGCTGAAGTCTATAATGGAATCATTTCTTCACGGGCAAATTGAAAATATTTGATAGAACTTTAAGAGATTGAAAATCTTTCACTTCAATTGTTTCAAAAATTTGTTTTGTGTTTATTCTTCTTTATGTGTGAAGTTCTTTGTGTACGTATCAGCTTTCTTCTTTTCCTTTTTTCCTTCTTCCTAGCATCAATCTACAACCTATGGATAATATGTGTGTTCATATATAATTATGTTTCTTTTTTTAAACCGAGAAATCCACTGAGTATAATGGGGCACGACTCGAAACTTGGTGGATAATGGGCCCGCTTCTATATCTTTCTCCACACAAATACTACTAGGATTTTTGTGAGGGGTAGGTTTCGAACCATTTCTCTGCACCTAACCTACCATATATGATTATATTTTTTAATGACAACAAGTCGATATTGTTCACAGAAATTCGAATGTTTATTCATCTGTAATCAGTAAGAGATCTTGTTAACTGATACCCCTGGATAAATTCTCAGTGCATTGGGTGGCCTGAAACTACTTACCACACAATACAGAAGAAAGTTGCAATTTCATTAACACTAGCATAATTATGAAATATTAGCTGATAGAAGCAGTAGTAATGCTAAAGGAACATATCAATTAACACACAAAACACTTGCACTACTTTATGTGAGGTGCATAGATGAAGCATTTGCCAAAAATGTGTATTAGATGTCCATCTTTTGCCGCTGCAAGGATTAAAGAAGGAAGGAAACAGTAAGATTACCTAGGAACCAAAACTGTTTTGGACAAATGAATAAATAGAAATTAAGAAAAGAAGCATATTACTTGAGCACTTCACTACAATTTGACAACTTAACATCAAGGATCTAGCCCTGATCAGCAAATATGGATTTCATGATCGGGAGTTACACCATGAACACGCCTCGAACATATGCAATACCCAATATAAGTTTAGAGAACTGGAAACAACAGAGTGATTTTTGCACTACAACTGAGAGAAACATCTGAGAAACCAGAAAGAGATTTTCTGAGACACCAACAATACAGACGAATACCGCTGGAAACGTAAGTCAATCAAATACTGACGAATCACGATGGAAATGTATTTAAAGCACAAAAAGAGTGCCCCAAATCTAATTACACTCTTGATCATACAAAATACTAGTATATTAGAATCTTAACTAGAATTATACAGGGGATTGCAGTGATTTGAAAGCCTAAAACCAGAAAAGCGACAGTTTAAGAGTCTGATTTGGCCTTATACTATGCCTTATTTATCCCCCATTTGAGTTTCTTATGAAAAATATCATCACCTTTATACATTAGTTGCACATTTATCCTTACCCGTTAAAAGCACCTCTCTTAGATTTTTAAGGAGCACGGCATCCTCTTATTGGACCAACTGACCGGCCCCAACTCTTAATTAAAACCCGCCCGATCCAACCATTAAACTTAGACCCATCGATAAAATTTAGTCCATTTTCCCTCGAGCTTTTCATCTCCCCCAGAAAGAAAATACCTAGGGTTCATCGCACCCCTATTATAATCAATTCATTCCACATGCTTTCTTCTATAACTGCAGTTAAAGGTAATTGATTTCTTCAATTAATTGTTTGTTTAAGCTGTTATATGTATTTTTTTCTTAAATTTGCCGCGAATTAGTCACCTTTAAGGATTTCGTTCTTTAATCTTGTTATGGTTTTGATTATGTGCTTAAATCTTTAAAGTTGACCGTTAGTTGTGTTGTTTATGAGTGGATTTTGTTTGCATGGGTTGTCTAGGTGGGTTTTCTGTTAGGGTTTATTCGAGACAAAATTTGTTTTTGGATTTTTGTGTAGTTTGTGGTCCATGTGGTTTTGGCCTTTATTTTTATTTAACGAAAAAATTGGTGGCAAAACTGAGATTGTGGGGTCTTAAGTTTGGGGTTTAAGGTATTTTTTGTCGGTGTATGGTTGTTGACCCTAACTAAATATTTTAAAGTTAGTGGGACTTCACTTTCTTATTGTATGTGGTCATACTGTTGCATATTAGTTTTGTTTTCTGGTTCCCCATGTTTGTCTTTCCTTGTGGTCGATTAATTTATTGTTTGATAACATTTTCCTTATTGTATAACAATCATTTTTAGAGCTTTCAGTTTAACCTTTTCTTTATAGATTTTCTTTATTGTTTAACAGTTTAGCAGCCTTCATTTTTTAACAGTTTAACAGTCTTTCAGTTTAACCTTTTCTTTATAGATTTTCATTTTAACAGTCTTCATCTTTTTAGAGTTTTCAGTTTAACAGTCTTCATTTTTTATAGCTTTTCTTCATTGTTTAACCTGTATTTCAGTTTGTTGCCATATTCATTGCACATTCTTGTTCAATCATAACAATCATTTATTTTCTTAACTTTTCAGGATATTAAAAATGACTTTGGTGGACATAATGTTCCATCATGGTGGGGATTGGATCAGAAAACCCTATGTGTTATATTCAAAGAAGCTTGTTCACTCTTGGGAAGGTTATGACTCTGACCTTATTTCCTTTATTGATCTAGTAAATGAGTACACTGAGGAATTGATATATGTTGGTGTTCAACAACTAATTGTAAATGGACCTACTGGTAACTATTATGAAGTAGTGGATGATTTTGGGATAAGACATTTATTGTCTTTAATATCTGATGAGTTTAAGTGTCTTAACTTCTATGCAGTAGATGAATGTGAATTATCTGTGAATGTTCCTAATGTTGTCCATTATTCTGATTCACATCCATCACTAACTGAAGTTGGTATAGATTGTAATAAGGTTAGTGTGAGAGTGAGAGTGACAATGACAGTGAGGGTGATGAGGTAGGGTATGATTATGAGGAATCACAAACAATTGCATGTCAAAAAAATAGAGAAATTGATGTTGGACCGCACAATTACAAGGAATTGTATAAGGGTATGAGCTTCAAGGACATACCTGAAGCAAAAATATGTATTAACTTCTATGCCCTGGCAAACAAAAATGATTTAAAACAAGAAAAAAGTGATAAAGAAAGATTAAGGTGCAAATGTATTCCTGGTTGCCCTTTTGTTGTTCTCATTTCCGAGGATGGAAACCTTTCAGGGGTTAGGATAAAGACATTAAAATCAGAGCATACTTGGGATGAAGCATTTGATAATAGTAGGGTTGATTATCATACACTTGCACATTACTTCAAGAAAAGCTGCAAGATAATCCTATGTATAAGATTAAAGAGATGAGAGCAGATATCAAAAATGTGTTTAATACAAATGTCAGTTATAGTAAGTGTAAGAGGGCTAAAAGAGAGATTTTAGAGAAACTAGAAGGCAGTTTTACAGATAGCTACAATAAAATTGAGGCATATGTCAATGAACTTAGAGAAAGTAATCCAGGGAGTGATGTGATTATTAACTTGTCAAAGGATGCACTTGCTCAAGGTGTTAAAAGATTCTTGAGAATATATATTTGCTCCCATGCTCTTAAGATGGGTTTTAAGGAAGGTTTAAAGCCTTCAAGCCATCCACTCTTTCCTTTAATCTGTCCCTTTCAAGAATAATCGCATCCAACGTCGACTTCATATTGTTGAGTTTAACATTAGTGGCATCCAATTTGTAATTCATATTATTAATTGTAATAAGCACTCGATCTGGCAACACATCATCTTGCCATTCCCAATAACCGCACGAGCTTATCTACCAACACAAGGCATACAACTAGTAATTATGAACCACTAATACAAGGGAAAAAATTAAATATCGAAAAAATCAAATAGAACCAAAATAAAATAAATAATACATACATCAGGTTTAGGGCACTTAAAGAATCTTCTTCCGGGATTATATGGAGTTGTTGAACTGAAGTGGTTGGAAATTTTCCTACAATGACACCTCCTCTTTGATGAATAACTACTTTCTGACATGAGAAAACTTACTATGGTGGAAAACCTTCACAACCCCTTCTATGAAGTTAAGAAGAAAGCAAATGGGAGAGAAAGACTTTACAATGGAGCTGAAAATAGCAATGGAAATGAACCCTGGGTATTTTCTTTCTGAAGGAAATTGACTAAACTTTACCGATGGGTCTAAGTTTAATGGTTGGGTCGGGCGGGTTTTAATTAAGAGTTGGGGCGGGTCAGTTGGTCCAATAAGAGGATACCACGTGCTCCTTAAAAATTTGGGAAGTTGCTTTTAACGGGTAAGGGATAAATGTGCAACAAATGTATAACGATGGAGATATTTTTGATAAGAAACTCAAACGGGGGATAAATAAGGCTTATTTATGATAGTATAAGGGCAGATCAGATCCTTAACCGAACATAATAACGCTAGGATCAAGATTTTACTAGTTTCTTCTTGGAAAAATACTTTACCATTCCCTTAAACTTGACACGAATTATTAGTTACAACCTTAAACTATTCGTGGCCTTAATTACCCCCTTCAACTTGGCCTTTTGAGAGCCAGTACCCCTGGACACTGATATGTCAAAAAGTGTGGGTGCACTCGCCTATCACGAGGATTTTTCTATATATGTGGCATTTTTTTTGAAAAATAAAATATATTTTTACCTTTTTAAGTATGTTACTTTTTTAGATAATTTTTTCGAATACAATTTATAATAAAACTTGGACAGAACTACATTATTTAGGCTAAATTTTTTTATTTGACTAAAAATAATAAAGTTTTAGTTAATCTTTTTTTGAATTTGTCATGATAATAAAGATTTATACAATTGAAATAAATAGTCAGCGCATCTACAAGGTTATAAAAATACATAGTTGGAAATTAATTGTCACGACCCTAAACCTGGACCCGGTCGTGATGACGCCTCTCGTGAAGACAAGGCCATCCGACACTTCCCATTTCAATTTTTAAGCAGTTAAACAATAAGATTCAAGTCTAAAACATGATAAATAATCTAAAGGTGAACATTGACAATACAGAACAATAAGCGGAATACAACCCAACACAGCCCGATACCGGGGTATCAGTAGTCATGAGCATCTAAAAT